TTGGTGGCTCATTCAGTTAACAGTGATGGCAGATGTGTGCCTGAAGCCACAGCTGGGTGTGCCAGTGAGTCACACTGCTCTACAAACCAATCATCTGACCAAGACCCCTCTCATCTCTTTATAGTGCAATGACTGATATTCATACAGAGAAATCTCGAAAACTGTTTATAAATAATTGAAGGGAAGTAAGTTATATTTAGTATGTTAATATTAAGTATGTTACATTGCACCCCAGTCTTGGCAAAGTGGAGATAATACATATGTAGCAAAATAGTAGTAATGTTCAGAACTTCCTGGTTATTTGACAGATTAAAACTTTTATATGAATATGAGAAACAAAACAGCTGTCATACAGAGATTTTCCCAACAATACTGAAGAACATTAATAAAAGATTTAAAATGACAAACTGAGAGGTATAGACAGGAAAGCTTACTCTACGTTCAAAATGACCGAAGACCAATAATTCCTAAAAAAAAATCTATTCTGAACCTTTGCTATAATAATTCTCAGAGTATAAAATTGGACATAAAATGAGTTGTCCTTGATGGTGAAGGAAATTACTGAAAGTATTAAAAAGATTTTGTAATAAAACACCATTGAACTAGTCTGATGACACTTACTTACTCAATCCTTATTTAAAAATAATCAATAGAATCTGAAGATCCCTAGATTATCAGATCCAGTATCCAGAGTATATAAAGAACTCTTAAAATTCAACAACAAAAGACAACCCAGTAAAAAAGAATGAGCAAAGGAATTGAATAGACATTTCTCCAGAGAAGATACACAAATGACTAATAAGTACATGCGCAAATGCTCATTAGGGAAAAACAAATAAAAACCACAATGTGATACCACTTCATGTTCACAATGAATATAATTTAAAAAATTAAAACATAAAACAAGTGTTGATGAGAATGTGGAGAAACTGGAACCATGTTGCACTGTTGGTAGGAGTATAAAACAACACAACTGTTTTTGGAAAACAGTTTGGCAGTTCCCCAAAGCATTAAACTATAGTTATATGATCCAAAAGTTCCACTTTGGGGTATATACCCAAGAGAAATAAAAACATATATTTACATAAAATTCATCCATGAATGTTCATAGCAACTTTATTCAGATAAAGGAACCTGCTGGAGTTTGAATTCAACTTGAACTCTTCCCAAGCTGTGTGACTCTGTGATAATTTCTTTTCTCTTTTCTTTCTCTCTCTCTCTCTCTCTCTCTTTGCACTTTTGATTGAGATAATTGAAGATTTACATGCAGTTGTAAGAAATTATAATATCATGTACCCTTAACCTAGTTCCCCCAAAGGCAACATCTTGCATATCTAGAGTACATTATCCTAACAGGGATACTGACATTAAATTACAATCAAGACACAGAATGTTCCATCTACACAAGGATCTCTCATATCACCCTGTTACAGCTAAACCCATTTCTTTCCAGCCCACTATCCTCTCCTGACCCTCGGCAACTACTAGTCTCCATTTCTATAGTTTTGTTATTTCAAGAATGTTATATAAATGGAATCATATGGTATACAGCTTTTTAAATTAGCTTTTTCCCACTCAGCATAATTCTTTAGAGATTTATTTAAGTTGTTCCGTGTACCAATAGTTCATTCCTTTTTATGGCTGAGTAGTATTCCACTGGAAAAGTTTCTTACTCTGTAGGACTTACTTTTCTCATCTATAAAATGACAATAGGGTTTTGAAGATTAAACAAGTTCACATATGTTAAGTATTTAAATTCTTGGGACATATTAAGCACAAAATACTGTTAGCTATTAAAAAGTATTATGGTCCTCCATAAATATTATAATTTTAGTTAGTTTAAAATAAACCTTTATTGAATGACTATATGACACAGTGCTAGACGCTAAGAAAGACTCTTAGATATGTTCCTTTCATTTTTTCAAGACGGTGGACATCAAATCTTAACCCAAAAGAAAACAGTTCAAGGAACCAGTATATAAACTTGATCAGGTCTATTTCACACAGTTGTATTATTTCTCTAATTCAAGTAATGTCCCAATCATTTCAATGCTCAGAGAGATGGGTAGTAATCTGGGCAACTGCAAATTCACAGAATCTGTTTATGAGGCTTATGATAACTACAGAAAGAAATTAAATATTTATAGCAAAACTAAAAATATAAATTATGTACTTTTTATTCTTTCACTTAATCTAGTGATTTTCAAAATCTGCAGACACAAATTAATAGCATATAATGAGATGAGATGCAAGATAACTGATTATCCTGAGAAGACACTTCATGTTCTTCTTGACACCAGCTACAGACACACTGAATATAAAGCTAACCAGCCCTGTGGGAAATCAGGTCGCCAGAGAAACCTTTGATTTTGCCAAAATTAAAAAACAAATAAACAAAATTTAACAGTTCAAATCTGCAACCTCCTAGACTTTGTTACTTTAAAAAGCATTTTTTTCAGGAGTCTGGAAGCCAGTGTTAACACTTTATCTATTAAAAAGCTGACTGTCATGACACATCCCTAGAACAGGTAACAAAGGAAATGAAACAGCTCGGCACTGAAGGTCTCCTAAAAAGGTCTGGGTCCACATACATTACCAGCTTTCCCAGTGTGTGTGTGTGTGTGTGTGTTTAAATTTTTTTCTTTTTTGATTTTAGAGAGAGAGGAAGGGAGAGGGAGAGAAGAAACAGAAACATCAATTGGCTACTTCATGCATGCCTCCCACAGGGAATTTGGCCCACAACCTAGGCATGTGCCCTGCCCGGGAATCAAACTCATGACCTCTTGGTGCATGGGTTAATGCTCAACCACTGAGCCAAACTGGCCGGGCTAGCTTTCCCAGGGGTTGAAACAAGGATCCTCCGTAGACCCTGAGCTGCTATGCATATTATGTGGGTTAACTCTCTGTAACTCATATTTATTCTTGCTACAAGTATTCATTTAAAAAACTCAAAGTTACATAATACAGTAAAATTCTGGCATTTCACATAACTGAAATAAGACAAAAGTACAAAATAATATTTAAAAAGACAAGAATAAAATGACTCAAAAGTTAACACAGCCATTTCCCTCCCCCCATTCTAATTTTTTTTTTTAAACTACATTCCAGATAGATTTTTCTGTAAACAGTTCTTGGTCAACATTACCATATACCACTTGACTGGTAATCTACAAAAATCATTAAAGTACTGATACAATTCACATATTCTGGATATTTTATGTGCTCTACTGTTACTGCTCATCTTCCCATTTTGATTTTACCTATGATAATAATTTACAAAAATTCCAGCAAAAACAAAATGAAAAAGGTAGGCTCTCATAGTAGGCTTGATTTTTGCAGTAAACTTCTGTATAAAGAAAAATAGACTTTTCCCAGGGTTCAGTCATGCACTAGGAGGTCGCAGGTTCAATTTCCAGTTAAGGGTTGTGGGCTCAATCCTCAATAGAAGGCTTGCAGGAGGCAGCTGACAGATGTTTCTATCTCTCCCTCCTTCTCCTTTCCTCTCTTTGAAATCAGTCAAAACACATTAAAAAAAAAAAAGGGCATAGATTCATTGGCTTTTATGTACCATTTTTCTTTAGTACCTAGTCTATTAAAGACATCAAAACCTTAAACCTGTCTAGTGCCTCGTAAATAATAATAACAGCTAACATAATAGTAAACACTACTCACTGAATGAATCTATACCCTCTTCTTTTTTTCTTGTCTGTGAATGGTTAATCAACAAGTAATACTGATTTGTTTTTCACTGAATCATACATAACTAGTTATATTAGAAGCAGAATCAAGGATGTAATAAAGATAGTTTCACTATAGGAAACAAGATAAAACTCAGGATAATCTACTCATTCAAAGTCAAGTACTGAAGAAACTACTGGGCAGCACTAGAGATAGAAAACTGCCTTAGCTTTGTCTGGTGTGACCACCCCAGGTCTGATTTTAAGACAATCTCTGCTTTTAAGGATTTTATCCTTTAACTAGGATGTTAAACACAAGAATTAGAGAAGTAAAAAGCCTTAAGCTCCAAGTTCTGTAGGGCCTGAGTGAATGGAGAAACGTGTGTGGGCCAGAGGTCGGGGAGCCTCCTGGAGCTCTCATGGACTGAAGGGTGGCACAGCTGGCTTGGGGAAGGGAGAAGGGGAGTGAAGGCCCCGGATGGACTGTCACAGGAGCAAGGCAGGAGAGGAGGCTGAGGGAGTCGGTGAAAAGGCCAGTCTGGGCAGGGCGGTGGATATGTGTGTGCTGAAGCAGCTGACTAATTGCCCAGGCAAACCCAGAGAATGTAAAATGATGTAGTCAGGTGCAGCCAAACTTCAATTTTTCTATTTTTATTTTAAATTGTGTAAATCACCTTGAGCTCTCTACAGGTAGGTGCCAATTACAGAAGAAACAATCACTGGTTTGGGGAACCTTCACACATTAGAACAACATAAATGTGACTTTTCAAAGCAGTTCTACCAGAAAGGAGTCATGACCGAGCTGAAGGCACTTAATGTCACGGAAATCTACAAATCAGAGCAACCGTCCAGACCGAACACTTTAGAACACTGGGATGTGTTTGCTTCGACTACTGAGGGATCCACAGAAATATATAAATATGTATATATATATTTTCATGAATGATAAAAAAAATTCATACCACCCCAACACACAAATGGAAAAAAACAGTCACATAGAAACTTGATATAATCTTGAAATAAAGTCCCTTTTGTACATGTCATTCAACAAGTATTCTAAGGGAACAATATAAACATAGATTTTAATGCCACTTTACTTGAAACCACAAGGATGAATCAAGATTTTAAATGCAAGGCTCTGAAAACCCTAATGATGTATGAAGTATCTACATGAAAAATCTGACAAATATGCTCCACTCACTGCCCTGGGAAATAAAACCTAAAGTTGACATCACCTCTTATGAAAAACAATCAAAAGGTGGATTGAAATTTTTTTAAAAAAGAAAGAAAAAAAATGCGGAAAGATGTTGGTGTGGCACGCACCTTCTGTATCATCGCGCATTTGCTCCACCAAATCTGTCAAATCCTCCCAAGAGTCTTTGCAAACGGCAAAAAGAAAGGAAAAGAAAGATAAAGTGTCATGCAAAGCCAAGAAAAGAAAGTGCTGTTAAAAACAAGGTTTCAAAAGGGATAACTGAAAGGGAGAGTCCTGGAACTCTTTCCACTTAACCTAGAGATTACAGTGAAAAGGGCTGGGAATACCCCCCAGGAGGAGTATGACACTAACCAAGCCCAGGTGTCAATACTATTAACTATGTTTCGAAGCTAAGATTAATAATTTCAAAGTTCCTAGTAAAAGGAAACAAAGATTCATATCCCATAAAAAAGTAATGTAGATTTTTGTTTCCCCACTGAAAATTAAGATGAGGCTCTTTGCATTCTAATTGTGTATAATATAGATGTCATTTAACATTTATTTTGATCACTTCAGTGACATGAACACATGTGGAATATTTTTTAGACTCAGGACAAACATCATTATGCAAACTAGTGACTCTTTTTAAAATAACAACAACAAAAATCTAAATACCTTTCCCAATGCCCTCCACCCCCATAGTTCTCATTTCTCAAAACAATAGGAAGGAAAAGATGCTGCTTTGAAGAGTGACAAAATCAATTACTTATAATTCAACAAAAAGATGTTTATTCCATTAAAATTATAGTACTCTCTCCCTTATATAAATTCAATGTTTTTATACATGGAATATTCCATGTGAGGCAAAAGGACAGGAAAAACTATGAAGATTACAAATATAATAGATATTTGTCTTAAAGCTGTATGATCACTATTCTGAAATAAAAGTTGAGCCATGGCCGGTTTGGCTCAATCATTGGAGCGCCGGCACACAGACTGATGAGTCTCAGGTTCAATTCCAGTCAAAGGCATGTACCTCGGTTGCGGTTTGTCCCCGGCCCTGGTTGGGGTCATGCGGGAGGCAGCCACTCGATGTGTCCCTTTCATGTTGATGTTTCTCTCTCTCTCCCCCATCCACTCTATCTGAACTAAAAAAATGGAAAAATGTCCTTGAGTGAGGGTAAAAAAAAAAAAAAAAAAAAATTGAGAACCTATAAAAATTTAAAAAAACAGATTAGCTTCATCCTTTAATAACTCAAACTATTATTACACACAACTGCAATATTCATACTTCATTTCACTAATCATGTGAATTTCATGTGTAAATACACAGAAAATAAAGAGAAGTCCTTAGAGGATGAAGCATAACAAAAATGAGAATATGGACAAAGAATATGCTGTCCATGATAAGTCCTTCTTGAAAACTTATCATGGAAGCCGGCATAGGGTCTGAAGCAGTCATGTGGAATCATCCTCTAGGAAAAGAATATCATTTGTCCTACTCTCTCACTGGTTTATTAATCAAGTGGGCTGTAAGGGTACATTCTAGTGTCAAATATATAATCAGTTATCCTACAAAGATGTACAAAAAAGGACACAGATGAGGATCTAGTGATGTGATCTGTGATTAAAGTGGAACTTTTGGAAACTAGATATATAGAAAGACTACTGGTTAGGCAGGTAATATAAAAAGAATGCAAGTATACTCTATTACACTTGTATTGTCTCCCAATTCAAAAGTCTAGAAATTAATGACTTAGAAAACTAAGCATAGGAGTACAGCACAGAGAACCAGGATTGAATTCCTAAACTTTCACCAACATCCCAAGTAAGTCATTTTATTTTATTAAAAAATATATTTTTTCTTCATTAATTTTAGAGAGAGAGGAAGGGAGAGGGAGATAGAAACATCGAAGAGAGAGAACATTGATTGGCTGCCTCCTGCATGCTCCCCACTGAGGGTTTGGCTTACAACCAGGGCATGTGCCCTGACTGGCGAATTGGTAACCTCCTGGTGCAGGGGTCGACACTCAACTGCTGAGCCACACCGGCTGGCCCAAGTAAGTCACTTTATAACCAACCCTTACTGGCTGTATGACCTTGGTCCAGGTACTTCATCTTTCTCCTCAGTCAGTTTCCTCATTTACAGAACGGAGGAGAGAACAGTACCTATCTTACAGCACTGTTGTGAAGAGTAAAAGGGTATACATAGGTCCCAAATCCTTTATCTGAATATTTTCTCCCTAGATCAATGTTGAAATAAAAAATACATATACTTCTTAATTTTAGAAAGGTAAAATGGTACATCCTGAGACCCACAAGCATAGAACTAGCAGGCGCTGGGGCAGCACTTCACGATCAAGCACATTAATATTTCTGCCAGCAGTACATGAATATTCAAATTAAATATGATAAATAAAAACTATAAATAGCCTCGCCTTGGTTAATCGGCTCAGCTGGTTGGAGCATCATCCTGTACACCAAAAAGGTTGTGGGTTCTATCCTTGAAGGGGGTGTATACGGGACGCAACTGATCAACGTTTCTCTCTTTCTCTTCCCCTCCCTTCCTCTCTCTCTAAAAAGCAATAGAAACATATCCTCAGGTGAGGATTAAAATACAAATTAATTAATTAATACTATAAATAGTTGCAAATAAATTCAGGCCATGTTTTAGCACTAAATGGGTTCAGGCAAATTTATGAAAAATGTTTTTGGTTTTCAGAGCTTCTGTGGAATTTGCAATTGTGGAGCTATATGTGTAGAGCACTTAGAAAGGATCTCATACAGAAACAGCACAATGTAAGTGTTAGCTACTACTATTTTAGAGTAAATTAGTGTTAAAATACTCTAGATATAGATATATTTATATAATTTTCAGGTATAACCCTCTGATGTTATGCTACAGATTTAGATTTGTATGTAGGGTTATAAATTCACAAGAATGTACTCCGTTAACCATCAAATCAGTTTGTTCCACAGACTTGTTATATGATCTTGTGAAAGTCAGTAAGGTGAATATTCTTATTTTATTCTTTATTTCTTGAGCTAGAAACTGTATTTGTCACCTAATGAAATAAGTCTATGCTTTTAAAACAAAATATAAAGATCCTCCCCGATCTGTGCAGAGCTCTGGAAAGTGAACTTCTGGGTAGGAATGGGTGGTTAAGTACAGGGATCTCTCCAACTTTCCCCGTGGCATGTCCCCCTAGAGTACTTTTCTGCTCCAACCAGACGGTCTGTTTTGATAACAAAATTTAAAGCTATAAGTATCAGAGCAATGGAATCAATTTGAAAAAGCCCTCCTCCCCTGAAAGGTAAAAGGTTTGTTTTCTCCTTTTAAAGTTGTTCTCCACTTTACCTTGGCATGTCAGAATTTTATTGTAATAAAGAATGGATGCCATGCTGAAGGATTTATAAAAGATTTAAAAAAAAAAATTTTGCCCTCTGGAATATCTTCAAATTATTATTTTTTATCCTCACCTGAGGACATTTTTTTTTTTTTTTTCATTTATCTTCAGATAGAGCGGGAGGGAGAGAGGGAGGAAGAGAGAGAGAGAAACATTGACATAAGAGAGAGACATCAAGTGGTTGCCACCCACATAACCCCAACCAGGGCCGTGGACAAACTGCAACCGAGGCACGTGCTCTTAGCGGGAACCGAACCTGGGACTATCCGATCTGCGGGCCGACACTCTAACCACTGAGCAAAACCGCCCAGGGCTAAGCAGGTCTTTTAATAAACAGGCATATGTAAATGTTTCCCTGAGTTCTGTGAGCTGTTCTAACAAATAATCAAATTAAAGGGGGAGGATGTCATGGGAAGCTCTGATTTATAGCCACATAGGACAAAAGTTTTGAGTACCCTGGGACCTACTACTTTTAATTGGCATTTGAAGTGGGGAGGCAGCCTCATGGAATTGAACCCTTAACCTGTGGGATCTGATGTATCTCCAGGTACAATCAGAATCGAGCTAAACTGTAGGACACCCAGCTAGTGCTGCAGAATTGCTTGGTGTTGGGAACCCTCTCACCCAATTTGTTGACTAGAGTGTCAGAAGTGAAGTGTTCTGTGTGAAAGTAAAGGAGAAAGACACAGGAGGAGAAATGTAGGGTTTTTTTCAATGTAGTTATCAACACTTGAGCCATTTAATATTTACTGAACATGTACGGTGAGCAAAGGACAGTTAATACCATTGGTTTGTATAGAAGTGACGAAATGAAGTGTCCATAGACAATAATGTCCTTAGAAGAACTAAATAACTATGACATAAGGTCAATGGAAATGGTATAAGAGAAATGAGAGAAGATAAAGTAGATTCCTAAATCAGGTGAGCAGGGAGGAGACACTGGAAGGCTAGGAAGGACAGGTTCTGATGGGAAGAGAGGGGATAAAGGGGGGCTCCCCATTTTGGTAGACCCTTTGCCCTCTTGCCTGAATGGTTGCAATGGCAGAGATAACATCTCTGATATACCTCAACTGGGAAGTTGCTGCCCACAGGACTAGGCCTTATTGGATTCTCAGATGAAATGCAGTATTTCTAATATACACCCTAAGTTTTACACCTCTAGGAAAAAGAAAAAAGAAATTTCAGCAGTCCTCTCATCCCAGAAAGCAAAATCTTGCAATCTTAGAAAAACATAAAATTTCTCATTGTACATTAACAGTAAAACTCATTCCCTTCTGCTTTGGGTATTGTCACTAGCTTAAAGAAAAAACAAAACAAAACAAAAACACAAAAAACCAACCAAACAAAAAACACCACCACCACCCAGATGTAATGGTATCGTGCAGTTTACAATTGCTGAATCAACTGTCCTAGAAATTTCAACTGTTTCCTTTGTAAAGTTCAGATTTGAATACAGTGTGAGAAACCACAACCAAGTGTAGCAGCGAAAGACAAAAATGAGTTGCAAAGAAGTAGCCTATGTGAGAGATCATGATACCATGCTATGAAAATAAAATGTTTATGGCAGCTAGGAAATTGTTACAAAAATTAAAATACATTACTATTTGACCCAGAAATTACACTTCTGAAAATGAAAACTGGTAAGGTGTTCAAATTATAAACATAATGTTGTACCCAAACTTCAGTGGTAGCCAAATTTAGAAACAACCTAACTGTCTGTAATATGGGAGCCAAAGACATCATGTCACATCCAAATAACTGAAGGCATTAAGCAA